GGGGGTGATGTCCCCATCAGCAGAGCTCCTTGGATCATTCAGACCCACAGACTCGTCCATGATGAGGTGTGTGTTCTTGGTGGTCTCCTGCTGWCTTTATTAGTGCAGAAACAAGTCATTTTTCTGTTGATTCCTGGCTGAATCCACAAGTCTGTAAATTTATGTTGGACCAGTGAACTGACACTGATGAAGAATATTTGGTGCAGAAAAGTCAAAACCCATTTCAGAATAAAAGAATTTGTTTCCTGTGGAGTTGAACAGGTCGTCTCCTCTCAGCTCCTGCAGCAGGAAGTCTTTTCATCTTRGAACTGAAACTTTTTCCTGTAGAGACTAAAATAAAAAAAACACCACCTTGTTCTGCTAAATAAGGTTTGAATTAAAGCGAGTGCGATGAGTGTCGGTGTTGTTGTTCCTGTCGCTCATCCCTCCAGCTTCATTAACTTCCTGTTTCTAAACCGTGCTTCTCATCTTCTTGACCGTGTCTGATTAAATGAGCTGTCAATCATCCGGCTGGGCCCCCAGAGCAGCAATTACAGCGTGATTATTACCTCAGTCACAACATGGAGGATTAACAGCTTCACTGACTGCAGTGTACTTTAACAGAGAATCATTTAAAACTGAAGCAGAGTACAGAGTCACTTTAACAACTTTATCCAGTCTGTGATTGATTTATCTTTTATTGTTATAAACAATAATGAGCATCAAAGATAATAATTAAATCCTTTCTGAAGGATTGTTTCTTGTCCTGCAGGTTCCAGGTGAGCAGCAGGTCCAGGTGAGCAGCAGGTCCAGGTGAGCAGCAGGTCCAGGTGAGCAGCAGGTCCAGGTGGTGGACTGTGAGTTCATGACCTGTTTGGTCGCCATCTTTGCTCCATGGTCAGTGGTCAGGATGGGTGGGGCTCACTCTAGTGTTGTTCAACTCTATGATCCTGACCCAGAGAACCAGATCCTGGATCCAAGCAGCTGAAAGGATCTTCCTGTTCCTCCTGGACCCTGTCCCACTGGGACAAGACCCAGACCTCTACATGGTCCTCTTTGGTCCTCCAAGAGGAGCTGAAGAGGTGGAGTCTGGACCAGCTGTCTCCAGGACTWCAGATCGTTGTTAACATTTGGAGTTTGGGTCAGGATCTCCTAACGACTCATGAAAACAGGTTTGAATATAAATCAGTGATGGTCTGAAGTCTCCAGCTGCTGGTCTGTGGCTGAGAAACTCTTTGTTTCAGCAGTTTCCCCTCAGTTTTATTTATTTATTTATTTATTTATTTAGTGTTCAGTGTTTAACATCCAGAGCTACTTCTTGTTTGGATTTAATCTGATTTCTTATGAAGCTGCATTATTTGAGCTGCAGTTCAGAGCCNACCATCCATTAACCAACCATCCATCATCCATCCATCATCCAACCACCAGCCATCCATCAACCATCCATCATCCAACCATCCATCATCCAACCATCCATCAACCAACCGTCCATCATCCAACCATCCATCATCCAACCACCAACCATCAACCATCCATCATCCATCCATCATCCAACCATCCATCAACCATCCATCATCCAACCATCCATCAACCAACCATCATCCAACCACCACCCATCCATCAACCAACCATCATCCAACCATCCATCAACCAACCATCATCCAACCATCCATCAACCAACCATCATCCAACCACAACATCCATCCATCAACCAACCATCAACCAACTATCATCCAACCACCAACCAATTATCATCCAACCATCATCCATCCATCCATCCATACATCATTCATCCATCCATCCATCCATCTATCCAACCATCAACCCAACCATCTTTCCATCCATCCATCATCCATCCATCAACCAACTATCATCCATCCATTATCCATCCATCCATCATCCAACCACCAACCAACTATCATCCAACCATCATCCATCCATCATGACTCAGTTTGTGTCAGACTTGTCTCTAAGGACCGGTCCACCTCTGGAGACCCCAGTGGGCGCGATGTCCCCATCAGCAGAGCTCCTTGGATCATTCAGACCCACAGACTCGTCCAT